AGAAGGCTTAGATCAGAAGAGTATACAGGCACAAGAGGACCCGAGAACAGTAAGAAGGGGGTAGTAGGACTGGCACATTCCTGTTTTAGAGACCCTTCGTAAGTCTCAGAGACAGGAGCCCTACCTTGCCCTGTTGGACATATCAGACAGTCCTATTTCTCTGAAAGTAAAGTTGAGAGATAAAGCTGCCAGACTGAAATGAGTCTGTGTTCTAGACATTCCCAACAATGCTGGAAAATAGTGGGAGCGCAATTAAAAAAAAAAAAAAGTTGAAAGAATTGAATAAGGAACGCTCAGGGTGGTAAATACAGGAAAAAGAAATATTCATACACCCCTTGAGGAAGTGATACACCCTTCCTGGAGGGTGCTATGGTCCTATATATAATATTAAAAATGCACAGAACTTTTGACCTGGAAATTCTATTTTTAGGAATTTATCCTTAGGGAATAGAACTTGGATGTGCACAGTAGTTTATTTTCAAGACTGTTCATTTCAATGTTGTTTTTAATATTGTAAAAATGTTGGAAGCAACCTAAATGTCCAATAGTTGGGGATCAGTTAAATGAATTATGATGTATTCAGATGGAAGATTATATAGCTATTTAATTCATATTAAACATCTAGGAATGTTTAATGGCATGCCTATACCTCTGATATATGACTAGTGAATAGAGCAAGTTATATATCATAAATATAGTCACTTGTCATTAAACCATGTTACAGTCCATGGGGTCATAAAGAGTTGGACACGATTTAGCAAATTAACAACAACAAATTTAGATAATACGTGGTGATTATTTTTTCTTTCTACTTCTATATAGTCCAAACATTTCCCATAATAAGCAAATTACTTTTATAATAATTTACATGTTTTTGAGTGACTGACAGAGACATGTATACTTGGTCATTTTATACCAATTCACACATATATCCATGGGTTATATGTGATACTTTAGATATATGAACTCTTTGGGCTACTTAAATATAATGATATTTAAATAGTTGACATTTAAAACACATGAACACTTAGTATTTAAGTGCCAGGGACTGTTACATTCTTTTCATATTTTCTTCCTTTAACCTCACAGCAAGGCTGGGAGGCAGGTTCTGTTGGTCTCTTCATTTCAGATATGAGGCAACTGGGGCTTGGGCATGTGTTGCCCAAGACCCCCTGGGTGCTGAGGGATGGGGTGGAACTCAGACACAGAAGGCTGTCTCTAGAATCCACAATTTCAACCTCTTTGCTCCGTTGCCTCCAACAACAGAAAATCTTAGCCAGAAAATTTTGAAATTCTGAGATTGGACCAACAGCTATTAAGATATCACATTGGCAGTAATTTCAAGAGCCCCGGATTAAAGTGGGTTCACATTTTTGTGTCTGTGTGTGAGTTCTTGTCAGGAAAAAAAAATGAGGGAATTAAAGTGTCTTGAAAAGATTCCTTTTTATAATTAAGCCTTCCTTGCCTGCTTTCTGTTTGCCACACTGACACAGCACAGCAATAAACAGTGCGGGAAAGGCAGCAGCTCCTGTGTTATGTCACGGCATGAAGGATGAGAAATCTTGTGCAGAAAGTGCTTTGGTTTCATTGGTGGTTTTCTGGGTGCTCCATGGACATCCTCAAAACTGCTCCTACATTGTCAATCCTCTGGGATAACTATATTTTTTTGGTCCCTGAATGGCATGTGTCATTTCGATATCCATCTCCACAGAGTATTTTTGAGGAAATTGAGTCTGAAAGGGGGAGTGATGGAGGAAAATCTTCTCTGCCATCAGAGCTGATCCCTGTAATCACTCTTCTCCCTTTGAACAAACCAGAGCTGCTGCTCAGGGAAGGAAACTCTTGAGAGAGCCTGTTCTGGAAACTGGGGCTTCTTTAAACAGGGGTGAAGGATCAAAGGATACCCTTAACTCTTACATGTAGGGTGATATTTGGGAACTGGCAGAAGTATGGCTGCAGACTGGCCAGGGCAAAGGGCTCATCGACACGGAAGGAAGTGTGAAGGATGGAAGGAACACTGACTCACTAGCCATGTGACATTTGACAAGACACTATACTTCTACGAATGGCAGTTTCATATGTAAAATGAGAGAAGTGTTGGGTTCCTAAATTAGAGATACCAAGGGAACATTTCATGCAAAGATGGCCTCAATAAAGGACAGAAATGGTATGGATCTAGAGAAGCAGATGGTATTAAGAAGAGGTGGCAAGAATACACAGAAGAACTGTACAAAAAAGATCTTCACGACCCAGATAATCACAATGGTGTGGTCACTCACCTAGAGCCAGACATCCTGGCATGTGAAGTCAAGTGGGCCTTAGGAAGCATCAGTACAGGCAAAGCTAGTGGAGGTGATGGAATTCCAGTTGAGCTATTTCAAAGCCTAAAAGATGATGCTGTGAAAGTGCTGCACTCAATACGCCAGCAAATTTGGAAAACTCAGCAGTGGCCACAGGACTGGAAAAGTTCCGTTTTCATTCCAATCCCTAAGAAAGGCAATGAATGCTAAAGAATGCTCAAACTACCTCACAATTGCACTCATCTCACATGCTGGTAAAGTAATGCTCAAAATTCTCCAAGCCAGGCTTCCGCAATATGTGAACCAAAAACTTCCAGATGTTCAAG